GGAATATGAATAGCTGTACCCCTCACTAACTGGGTAAGGGTTTAATAAACTCAACCTCCCCAGTGCAAGGCAACATGTAGCACCAGACATGCATTGGTGACCCGGTGCAGACTTCCGATAACTGCTAGTATCACAATTACTAAGAAGGAGAGGGGCATGTCAGGGACTAATAATGCTGAGGTGTGTGGCATGCTGCTGGAGGGCTCATTTGGTGGGCTGTGGTCAAGGCAGTTTCATAGAGGACAGAGCGGGGCTGTGACCACAGGACAAGCAGGTATCAGCGAGCAAACAAGGAAGGAAAGTCATCCAGAGCAGAGAAACCTGCACAGACAGAGGCTGAAGGTGCAGCTCAAAGTCACCCTGGATGCCCAGGGGTCAGAGTGTGAAGTCGGGGGGTTGTGGTGCCCATCAGCCTGGCAGGCAGCCTGGGCATGAGAATCTCCAATGTCTCACTGAGGAGGCTGAACGCGATTCTGAAGGCTGCAGGAGCTGTGCCTAGGGCCAAGTTGCTCAGCTTTGGCATCGAGATGGGCATCTGGAGCTGGGAAGTTCTCTTATGGAGGCATCCTGGTGATGGTAGGATGTTCATAGCACCCCTGGCTTTTACCCGTGGGATGATGCCAGGAGCATCACCCTCACCCTGCCCCCTGCAGTTATATTTCCTGCCATTGGCAGATGTCCCTGGGGTGGGAGTGGAGGGCAAAGCCATGCCCTGGTGGAGAGCTCCTGGACTAGGGGAGAGGCATGAGTGTTACATGCCTTTGAGGGCTGGCCCTACCCTCACAGTGGAGAACAGGATACAGGGAGAGAGCCCCAGGGGGATGCCCCTGGGGTGTCATGAGCAGCATCATGAGTGACAGTTGGCCAAAGGCAAGGCCAGGCTGGGCTGGGGCAGGGGTGAGCCAGGTGAGCAGGCAGCTGTTAAAGGGGCCATCCTCTCTGTTGCAGAAGTTTGCACTGATACCCAGTGGTGAGTACAGTATGGCAGTGTCAAGCTCAATGCCCTATCCTGGGAGAAAGTCTTGGGCTACCTGTGCAGGCCACTGCCAAGAATGAAAGATGTTCAGCCACAGTGTATCATTGTCTGTCCTCAGCGTAAATAAAATGTTAAGCAGGAGAAGCCAAGAGAAAGCCTGGGGAAAGTGGCTTTATTAGAGACAGCCAGGATTACATAGGATATAAGAGTTGGCATTGGGACCCTTGTTGCCAAAGATGGGTACAACCCTGACAAGAGGTCAGTTGTACTGCATCTGCTGCTTGGCCTGGCTTGCTTTGGGCATGTCTCTTCCTCCTCTTCCCCCCGCTTCCTCCACCTTCTCCTTCTCCTTTTTCTTCTTCCTCTTCCTCTTCTTCTCCTGTTTGGCCACCTTGGGAGTGTGACCTCTCACTTTTCCAGTGCAGAGTGGGAACCATGACCTTTACCTCCAAGTACTCAGCAGCTACTTTCAGAATGGTCAGAGCTTCAACCCCACACTGGCCCAGAGTGGCCTCATCCCCCAGCTGTGAGCCTGCCAGGAGCACAACTTGATCTTTGGGGGCAATGCCCTTCCATCAGGCTGCATGAGTCTCGATCTGGTGACTGTCTCCTGACAGGTTACTTCTTTTTTTGGGCGGGGGGTACCAGGGATCGAACTCAGGACCTTGCACTTTCGAGGCAGGCACAATGCCACTGAGCTAAAACCCCTGCCTGACAGCTTACTTCTAGGGTGTGTAAGTCCTGGGCACTGACAAAGACCTGCATGTAGGCAATGGAACAGTGGACCAAGCTGCCACGACTGTGGAGTTGAGAAAGAGGAAGAAGGGAGGGCACGCACGTCCTCACTGCCTGCTGAGGATCATGCCACTTGTTTTTGTTTTTTGAGATGCGGTTTCACTATGTAGCCCAGACTGGCCTTGAATTCGCCATGATCTGTGGGCCTCAGCCTCCTGAGTGCTGGGATGACAGGCATGTGCCACTGCACCCCGCTCTGCTAGGGACCTTTGTGTATTGTAGACTGCTGACTCCTGGCTCCCCTGGTAGGCATGCAGTAGTGCTCAATAAAGGAGTGTGTGGATAAAGGGGTGTGGGGCGCTGCTGGAGAGAGATAGAGTACACAGGCATGAGCTTGGATGCTTGGGTGCCGAGCAGAGCAGGGGCACTGGGCACCCAGGGAGGCTGCCAGCCTTGGCCATCTCTACCCAAAGTACTTCCCATTGCCGGAGGCAGCCTTGGCAGGAAATGCCCAGAAGGCCAGCATTCCTGAGGGGCCAGAGCCCAGGTATCCCTGGTACTGTGGAGTCCTGGTCAGAGGAGTCAGCAAAAAGTTCTCCAAGAATGCTGCACATGTGTGCAGAGAGAAGGGATAGGTGCGGAGGAAGGAGGAACCATGTCCCAAGTCCACAGGGCCAGGTGGCCACCAACTCTGGCTGCCACTGTGCTTTTTGTCCTTAAACCCTAACCCTGGGTGTGACCCTTAAGTGCAAAGTGACCAGGTCCTGGAGCACAGGTGACTCAGCTGCAGGAGAGGGAAGCTCTCTGGGCCCTGAGAGGTTGGAGCGCTAGAGGTTTCCAGATGGGAATTGCCATGGTTTAATGTAGTTAGTGGCCTCTGAAACTGAGGTTGGAACTTAATCTATACTGTGAGATGTTAGAAGGGTAGAGAAAATCTGACTTCAGTGTTTAGAGGTGATTAGGATTAGATAAGGTCAGCAGGCCCCCCAAATTTAAAGACCCAATTCAAAAATGGGCCTCTGAAGTGAACAGACATTTCTCAGACAAAGAAGTAAAAGTAACAAATAAATATAAAGAAATATTCAACTTCACTGGTCATTTGAGAGATGCAAATGAAAACAATGCTGAGATTCCACCTCACCCCACAAAGAATGGCTGCTACCAAGAAATCAACCA